TTTTTTTTCCAGCTTTAATTGAGTTTATTGGTACATTTTAGGGATACAGTACAGTTACATTCATTGTTGGGATCTTGTACCTCTACATGACAAGTCTTGATTCTCATTTTTTCCCCTTACCTCTGCCCTCCCTTCACCCCCTCATCCCCTCCCCATCTACAAACACTTTATTTTCATCTTTTCATTCTCTCACATTTTTTTCTTTTCCCTTTTTACTCTTCCCCTACCCGTCCCACCTTCCCTACACCTTTGGCTCCTTTCTTCCCATTTCTAAATGTCAGTAATCTTATTAGGATCTTATGCATTATTGTTTGCTTTGTTTTTAAATTGCTTTGGCTTATAAAGTTATTGTTGTTTCTTGATAGATACTTCATAGCTGTGGAAGATGACAAAATTTTACCATTAAATTCAGCTGAAAGGTAAAGTTGATCTCTGGGGAATTCGTTGTTCACACGTATAGATTTGGCAAAAACGTCGCTAGAGAGGTTAAACTGCACACGTGACTACACTTTAATGTGCACCCCTGTGCTTTTTATTATCCAGGAAACCTGGTGTGAAGCGTGCGCCTTATATAAGGTAACCTGATAACCCTTGCCTGCTCTGTTAGGCCTTAGGAAAACCTACTTGGTTCTCATGTAGTAATTATGAAACATTTCACTTTTTAAGCATTGCAGGTGATGATCCTCCTGCCAGCTGTGTGTTCAGTCAGGTCATGAACATGGCAGCATTCCTAGGTAAGATGCACATTGAGAATGCTCCATGCACTTTCTTTTGTGTTTTAAATTCTCCCAGATCTATCTGAAAACAATGGGAGATCTAGCAGATATGCTGGTGTCATATCATGCCAATTTGCGGAAGCCAGCTTTTTGTTTTATTTTTCTCTTAAATCCTTTGCTGTTCACTTGCTTTCCCCTTCTCCCATTTCTTATCATTTCAGCATACTCTGAACTTTATTTCTTTTGCTGCATGAACTATTTCACGTGCCATAAAGTCTTGCATGAGAATGTAATGTGGTGATGCACTTGCTTTGAAAAGAATGCCTGAGTTAGTCCTTCACTGGCAAAAATGAAAAACATACATAGGCTCTGTGATAGATATTAGTAGGTGTCATTACCATCTTTAAACCTAAAGGTTAATGTTACATCAGGTCTAGGAAAAAACAAGCCTTTGGTATTCATATCTGGCCCAGTTCTCTGCTTTTTCTTCAGGGCCCCCTTGCTCTCAAGTCCTTGTGTGATGCCGTTGGTCCCCCAGAGATGGTGGGGACCATGTCCTCGGTCCTTTGTATATCATTTTCTTATGACCAGGTTTTCCCCATGGTTTTCAAAGGGTCAGCCAGCTGTCACTGTTGGCACGCTACTGGGAGGGGACAGTGACAGCTCAAGCTTCCCACAGTGGTTTTCTGCAAATGGTTCCTTTGGATGGTGAGGCTTCCACTCCAAGCAAGAAATAACAATAATGGTGTGAGTAGGGAGCATCAACCTTTGTGGTACCTGTCTGTCAAATGGGTGGCCTATTGTTTCATTTCATGTAAGCTCCCTTCCCCCAAAAAACAATTCCTACCCACTTGTACTGGTTAGGGTTCTCCAGAGGAACAGAATCATTTTTAAAAAGGACCAGATAGGCTTACAGGATCAGGGCTGGGTTAGCTCACATTTGCAATATACACACGGGAGAGTCAGAGGATCCAGCTCAGTTCAAGAAGGTGGAAACTGCAGAGCAAAAGGGATAAGAACACAGCTCAGGCCAAGGCCTGGAAACTTCCTGCAGGATCCCTGGTGGGAGTCTACATTGAAGGCTGAAGTTGGAGTCTGATGTCTACAGGTGAGGGGTGTAGCAAAAACCAAGCCTGCACAAGCAGAGCAGAGCTTTTCAAACACAGGCTGCCTTCCTCTTTCCATTCCTTCCATCCATGCTGGAGGCCCATTGGTTGGTGCCAACCATGATGAGGGAGGTCTTTACTCTTCAATTTGCTGGCCTACACATCAATCATCTCTGGAACCACCCTCCTAAACACACTCAGAAGCATACCTAATTCATCTCATAGTCACTTCTTCAGTCGAACTGGCAATCAGATTGACGGCGAGCAGTCACATCCCTCTAAGGGAAGACCTACAGAACTTGCTATAAAATCAAGGTAGATTCTCGGTCATCTGTGCCACACAAGCAGGATATTAGCTGGTTCAGGAAGTGCAAGAAGTGAGAACCGTGGAGAACATTCACAGGGGATCACTGGGGAGCATCTCTGAGGTGAAGGTGGTTTTTCCTTGGAGTTTAGTGTATTTGTCAGCACCTTTCCCACCTGTCTTCCCAAGGCACAGTCCCACTCCCTAAGCAGGAGTTGTCTGGGTGAAAATAACAGGAAGGTTGATTACCCTGGGGCTGAGCTTGCTTACTCTTTGCACCTCTTCTCTTCCTGCCCTCAAGAGCTGGGGTTTTCATGTCGCAGATACTTGCAAGATTGGGAAGGACTCACAGCAGTGACTACATACATGGGACTAGCGTTGGTCCCGGTCAACCAAGTTTGCTCCCGCCACCTTCAGCCTCCATGTTGCCAGAAGGTTTATATTTGCCTTTTTCGGGGGGGTTCTTCTAGTCTTGGCACAGATCTTCTGAAAAAATCCACAACCTTTTCATACCAGGACATATGTGGCTGCGTGAGAATGTTTGCATTTCACAGAGCACAACGCCCCACCAGTGAACTTGGAACTGCAGGGTCAGGGCCTTTTGCAGAACCCCTGCAGTCACAGCCCGGAGGCCCGCAGGTTGGCCCCTGCTCGGCTCAGCATCTCACAGGGACAGCAATTAATAGCACCATTTGTGTTCCAGGAGCAAGGTTAAGTGCTGGGTAAACCACCTCTCTTAATCACCTCGGAAAGAGCCTGCCTTTCTACAAAAGCTCACAAGCTTTAAAGAAACCAGTGAACATGCTGGAAGCTACGTATTCTTTCCTTTGTGTTCTGTAGACAAATTTTTCCCAGTAGTCTTTAGTGCATAATCTAAAGAACATCAGTTTGCACAGCTCATGTTTATCTAGCTATAAAGCTTATGATTAACTAATTATAAAAGCATTTCCAATACAAAGAAATGAAAGCAAGTTCCCTCTTCCATATGACATTTGTCATCATCTTATTCTCCAGTTCTTCCTGCTCCACCGAGAAGCAATTAAGCTTTTACCAGCTCTTGCTGGAAGGTATTGCGACACCCAGCGTTTAGTCTTTATTATCTTTCATCATTTCAAGTGCCATCTGGTAGACACAAAGCTGATTAAGATTAGTGCTCACTAGGAACAGACCAGCAATTATTTATTTATCAACCTGAGGAGTGCAAAAGAATCCATTACTAAAGATTCTTGTTCCCCACGGCGGATGTTTTCCTCCACCCAAGGCCTATCTCTGTTAGACCTCAGACTATTACTTTAGGCTACATATCTGGCTTTAAGAAACAGCCGAGGCTGCCTATAAGTCACTGCTGTTGGACAGCTGTAGGTATTTAAATTTATAACCTAAAAATGAGTCAGTAGTATTTATTAAAATTAGTTAGCAAAGATCTTTTATCTTTTTGACAGGCTAGTCAAAGATTGAAGGCTCAATTATTTTCTTTACAAAATTCATCCTGCTCTTGGTCCTGAATCCATGCTTTTCCTTTCCACTGGGGGGAAGATAAAAGGACCTAAGACAAATTCCTTGAAAGAAATATTATTTCCTGCCCTGGGGAGGCTGTGAGAATAAAGCTAATAGTGGAATGATTTCAGTCACCTAGTAGCTGCTCTCCCTCCATCAGCCAAAATATATTGACTGTCGTGTTGTACTGCAGTCAAATAGAAATTATTGATGCATGAACAGTAAAACTAAACAAAACAAAACAAAAAAGAATCTGGCCAGGAACCAGTTTAGGTTTGCAGTGAAGGGTTGTTAGTCTGAATCTTGAACTTTAAAAACCCAGTCCATCTGAAAACAATGTTTTAATCTAGAAAATCAGAAATTTTTCTCCTTGTTCTCTTTTTTTAAAAAAAGGAAAATTGAATAGGGGACCCTTGTATAGCAAAGGACTATAACACATTCCAAAAATAGCAGAAGGGTAGGTTTTTAAAAGCCTTTTCTAAAGCCAGCTGTTGGTAAAATCTAAAATTTTTAATGTAACTACAAAGTATATCCATTGATCAGAAAGTGAACTTGATAAAAGCCAGTCAGCACATATAAAGATACCTTTAAAATTTCCCCATTGCCCAGAAGTCTTTCAGGATGGTATAAATCAATCATTGCTTAGCTGAATATGGGCTTTGTAACATATAGCCTAAATCTGCCTCCATTCAAACCTAAGAGTCAATAGCTGGACATGGTGGTGCACGCCTTTAATCCCAGCACTTGGGAGGCTGAGACAGGAGGATTTCTGTGAGTTCGAGACCAGCCTGGGCTACTTAGTGAGTTCCAGGTCAGTCTCAACTACATAGTGAAAACCTGTCTCAAAAAAAAAAACTAAGAGTCAATAAAACTATTGTAGGGCCTGAATCTTCTTCAGTTCCACTATTTTGTTAACTAGAATTTATTATGAAAGGCAATACTGCCTCGTATGAGCTAATTAATAATTATAATAGTAATAGTAATAATAGTTAATAGATAAAATTGACAAAGTGTGGTATTTGGAATATAATTCTGAAAGTTAGGAGTGCAGGATTGAATTATGGTCTGCAGATAGGTTCTTGTTTCCTGTGTAATTTCATCACCTGTTCATGATAAAAGTGACTCATCACCCGTTGTCTTAGTCACTTTCTTCATCATTGAAATACAGTAGCCAGAACCCACAACTTAAAGGAAGAGAGGTTTATTTGGGCTCATGGTTTCAGAAGTTTCAGTCCATGGTCAGTGGACCCCAAAGCAGAAACAGTGTAGTTGAATGGCCTGGGTCGAGGAAAACTGCTCTTATCATGGCAGCCAGGAAACAGACAGAAGAGAGAAGCCAAGGAGAGATGCACCCTTCCAGGTCACACCCCAGTGACCCACCTCTTCGGACCAAGTCCTACCTCCTAACAGCACATTTAGCTATAGATTCATCATTGGATTCACCCACTGATGAGCATACTAGCACACTTTCCACACACATAAGGCTTTCAGAGGACATGCTAGGTCTAAACTGTATCACCCATATTAAAAATTGAGGATTGGAGCTGCTGGACCAAGACATGATACATGTCCCATGTTGACAATAAGAAATGAATAGCACAGAAAGTGACCAGTGACTCCTTTGTCTTGTGCATAAAACAGCAGACCATTTGGCTGAGTGGTCCATGTGAGGAGCTGTATCAGGGACAGGCGTTAGGGCGTAGGCCAAAATTTCAGCATGATCCCATCTAACAGTTGAATGGCCAGCCACATGTGCAGGCTCACATCTGTGATTCCAGCATTCAGGAGACAGGCAGGAGGATCACTGCAAGTTTGAAGCCAGACTGAGCTACACAGTAAGACCCTATCTCAAAAAAAATATATATAAATGGCCAGCAGAGTTCCCAAGATAATACTCTTCACTAGTCATTTGTAAGAGAAATGAAAAGGCCACTCTGGTGTTTTGTCACCATCCCCTAAGAGCCACACAAAGTCAACTAGCAAGTCCAGCTCTCTCCGGTCCTCATCTCTTGGCCCCTTCATCAGGTGACGACTTAGTGTTAGTGTTGGATGTTGATTACTTCTCCCCACTTCCCTCCTATGCCCATCTTTTAAAAACATTTTTTTTTTTTGAGACAGGGTTTCGCTTGTAGTTCAGGCTGGTCTTGAACTCACTATGTAGCTCAGGCTGGCCTCAAACTCGAAACAATCCTCCTGCCTCGGCCTCCCAAGTGCTGGGATTACAAGCGTGTACCACCACGCCTGGTGCATCCTAAAATTTAATAAGCCCCTGTGCATCTGCTAGGACAGTCACAGTCATTGATAGACCTCCAATAAATCCTGACTAGGTCCCTCAAGCCAACTATTTGAGAAACTGTTGTCAACTCAAGTATAACTGACTCATTTTCTAAGCAATAGTGGGCAGTGACTGAAACAGGCTAAAAACTGTATCAAGGCTGAAGAACTTGAGGTTTCCAAAATCATGTTTAACAGTATTTTGGTTCCAAAATTCAAGTATGAATCAATTTTTATATCATTTGCTGATCACTGGTACTTGGAACTTGATGTCACCTCATTGTGCTTAATTCATAGCTTGCAGCTATGAAATTCAGCACACTTGGAAAATGCAAATTTATGGATAAGTTTTTTTTTAATTAATGTCTATGAATAAAGACCTGTAATCAAGGTAAAACCATTAGTAGATAACTACCAAGTTAAAAATAGAATAATTATCAACTTAATTGCTATGTAAACAGGGTAATTCTTGAATTTCTAATTGTCTTCCTGCTGAACCTTAATGTCAAAGTAAATCATCTTAGGAAGTAGTGCCTGCATTTCCTTATATGTAGATACAATTTATATTGATTGCAAATGGTCTTTCATCATTTGTTAACTGGCTCCTGGCTTTTTGTATAAATATGAAAATATTTCTTCACTAAGCTATTAATAAAAGATGATTCTTAAGATTAGTGCCTTGAGTGTGGACGGTTACTATTAGAAGTCAGGTTTGAAATCTAAGTAACTTCCCCATCTCTGTCCACGTTCTCAGATACCAATTTGCTTCAAAAGATAGAACACATCATTAGGGCTGGATATGGTGGCACAGGCCTGTAATCTCAGCACTCTAGAAAGCTGAGGCAGGAGGATCACAAGTTCAAGCCCAGCATAGGCAAATTAGTGATTTAGTGAAAACTTACCTCAGAATAAAAAGGGCTGGGGATGTAGCTCAGCACAAAGGCCCCCTGGCTTCAATCTTGAGTGCAGAAATATAAATTTAAAAAAAGTAAAATGAGTAGTTAATTATCATTTGAAAGAAATTCTTGCTATCTTATTTTAAGTACTTACTACCTCCACCGCCAAATGTGCTGTTAAAACACCGATTTCATAACTGTGACAACTCCAACTGCTCTAATTCCAATTGGCCTTTGACACAGAACACCGCTGGGAGGATGAGGGGAGTGAGCAGACCGGTCCTAAAGGGATTCTCTGGTTTCCTTCTCTTCCTTCGCATCCCCGGGCATGGTCTCGGACCAGGTCTGTCCAGATGTGACCCTGTCCTTTACCGTACCTTTCTGCCCTGTCCTGAGCTAAAGGGTGACTCAGTAGACTCTGGACTGTGCTCACCTCTGTCCCCTGCGCGTGTGTAACATGCTACGCCCTGCAGTGTCTCCGCAACTGGCCTGTCCCCCACTGGCCTGCACCTTGGTGTCACCCAGGCCCACACAGCACTGCTGCCGCCAAGCTGCTCTGCTCTGTGCTTCCCCGACACCTAAGTAATCTGAGCTCCACGTGGAAAGTCTCTGAGAAACACCGGCATTTCAGAGATGTCAGACGCACTGCAGCCGGAGGTTTAATTTTGCATGCCGTGGCCTTCTGCCTCACAGTCTGGGTGTCTGGCTTAACTTTTATAATTTTAAGATTTTTGCTTTGTTCCTAGCCCTGGTGGTAGCTGTTCTGCGCTTCATACAGCTGAAACCAAAGGTTTTAAACCCGTGGCTGAATATTAGCGGATTAGTGGCGCTGTGTCTGGCTTCCTTTGGAATGACCTTACTCGGTAATTTTCAGGTACTTCACTCGGCCTTTTCCACCTCCCTTTCACACCGGCGAGAGCGTCCCTCATAGGGTTACTGCAGCCACTGAGGTTTACTCACCAGGTGGCCTGTCTACTTCCGTATGAACCTGAGAACCAGTGAGGGACTTTGGGTCTTAGTTTCCACAGGGTCCACTCTGAGGCTGTTCTCGTCCTCTGTGAGTGTGGCTGACTGCACACCTGACCTGCAAAAGGAGCTGCTGCAATAGCCAGCGTTCGCTCCAGAGGGTCTCATAGTGGGTTACACTTTTCTTCATAACAAGTGTGCCCTAACATACCTTTCTAGAAAAGGAATAGGGTCGCTACCTATTATAATTAAACACCAAACATCCTCAATTGAGGATCTTGCATTTCCGATTAGCAAGCCACCAGGAAGTCAAGTCTGAAAGTCTGGAACACCTATGACTCGTATAAAGAACTTCTTAACCCTGAGTCTTCTTCCTGGGAATTTAGAATGTCAGGGCCACAACCTGCAAGGATAATATCTCCTGCTGGTATCACTGCCCTTCTCTTGTCCTGGTGACTTCCTTTATGATCCTCCAGCCCATATCAGATATAAGGTGTGTCTGGAATATGCAGTGAATGCTTAAAGATGTATTACAACAAAAAATTTTGCTATTTATCCCCTCAAAATAACCCCCTCTCCTCTCTTGAATACGCTTATCCCATCGTTCCTGCCACTTTTTGAAGCAGTTCTGGAAGTCTTCTTGTGAGTGTTTTTTTTGTTTGTTTGTTTTTTGTGGTACTGGGGATCGAACTCAGGTCCTTGTGCTTGGGAGCCAGGCCACCGAACCGCTGAGCTAAATCCCCTGCCCTTCTTGTGAAGGTGTGATCAAAACTATGTTTAATGCTGCTGCCACATGTCATCCAATGGAAAGGAAGCCTTGCAAAACATGACAGTCTGTCCTCATCCACCTTATTCACTGGATCTGGCTCCACCCAACTTCTAGCTTTTCCCCAAAGTCAAAACGGCCAGGAAAGGGAAACATTTTGCATTGATTCGGGACATGGAGGCATCTGTGATAGCACAATTAGACACTCATGAAAGAAGACCTCCAGCGCTGCTGCAGAAAGTGGCAAGAGGGCAGAGGCGCTGGCTCGGTGGTTCCGCTGCCTGCCTTGTAAGCACAAGGGCCCGAGTTTGATCCCTGGTACCAAAAACATCAAACAAACAAAAAGAAAGTGGCAAGAACGATGGGACAGGTCTGTTTCAAGTGAGGGGGGACTGTTTGGAGAGGGGGTTAATGGCAATGTGTTTTACTGTAACACATTTTTAAGAATTTACACGCTCACTCTATTTTTAATCACAGCATGTATACTTCTAATAGCTTTCTCCTTGTAAGCAAACACTGATCCTAACCCTGCTCGCCATCTTCACTGAACTCCAAATGGTCTCCAAAAGACCTGTAGCCTTAAGCCAGGTGGGTTTTGCACATCTGTAATCCCAGAACTCTGAAAGGCTGAGGCAGATCACAAATTCAATCCAGCCTTGGGCTATTTAGTGACTTAGTAAGATCTTGTCTCAAAATGAAAATAAAAAAGGGCTGGGGGTGTAGCTCAGTGTGAAGACCCCAGGTTCAACCCCCAGTAGCACACACACACACACAACCTTCAGTATTCTAGTGAACAATGTTTTTAGTAGTTTTTACTGAAAATATGGTAATGAGTTTTCTACAACCTCCTCTTGTCCTAACCCTTTGCCCTGCTCATTCATTAAACCAGGATCACTGAGTCCCCAAGCCTTCCCTTGGGCACACAGTAGTAACTAAATAAGAGATTTTTTTCTTGAGTTCCCACTAATGGTTCCAAATCCCATTCTGTATCCAGGTGGACCCCAAAAAGCTGCATTCTTCAGACATATTGTCTAGGATGGTGAGAGCTTATCCTGTTAAGATGCAGGGTGCTTGGGCACAGGTCACCTTTATTGCCTCCCAGGTGGGCCGCCCCCTCCCCACCTGCTGGGATGTGCCCAGCCCTTCCACTTCTCTCCGCTGGGGCTGTGAGGAGCGTTAGATGCACATCCGCTTCTGTACTAATGTGTCAGTCAGCTTTCTGTTGCTGTGACATAACACATGGAACAAACAAAGGAGGAAAGGGTTGTCTTCGCTCACAGTTTCAGTTCATGGCCAACTGGCTCCACAGCAGTAGAGTGTGCTGGAGGAAAGCTGCTCCGGAAAGAGAGGGACAGGGACGGGGAGGGGAGGAACCACATGTAATCCCCATCCCCCATTTCTGTCACCTCCCTGTAATACATCACAGTATGAGCTAAAGTCCTCATAATGCAGCCACGTCTCCAGGTACCACCTCTGAACACTGTTGCACCAAGGACCAAGCCCCTCACACCAGTCCTTCCTATTGAAACCATAAAAAACTAAAGTCTTAGGAGAATCCCAGAGACTGGGTTGAACAGCACAGATACACAGACTTTGAATGCAACTCTGCATGTGTAGAACACAGGGAATGAACCAAAACCAGGTACATCACCCGCCTGTGGAGGAACTAGGGGTGTGCGCTCGGAGACGGACCTTTCAGCCTACTCTCTTTTTCATAACTGTGTAAAGTCTGAGCCATGGAACTGTGTCACCTATTTTTAAAGTTAGCTAATAAAAGTAATGAATAAAATAAGCTGCACATAGCATGGAAAATCAATTTTCTAGAAGTGAATTTTAATTTGAGGAATCATTATTTTAAACACATTTTGAAAACATGTCTTTCAAATTATGAGGGGGTGAAAAGTGGTTTTTATCCCAAAAAGTGGAGGTTAAGGGTAGAGACAACACAGAAAACCAAAAACAGTGGGGGGAAAAACTACCAAGCAACAATAATATTGGTTTGACACACAATTATGCAAAACAATGCCAAACAACAAAACATCTGCAGGCAATGGTAATTTTTTAAAAATCAGTATTTTTACCTTGGTTTAAAAGGTATCTTTTTAACAATAGGTTTTATTTTCCTGCGTGATTAACATATATATGTAATTACCAAAGAAGTTTTAAGTGCATATATTTTTAAAAGTAAGTGAGTAATGATTGGGAACTTTTCCTCTCTCTACCCCAAGTGCAATAACCCAAATGGGTCTCATTTAGCCTCTCTTGAGGTTAAACTCTCTAAAGTCTTGCCTGTGCCATCCTTCAGTGGGTCTCTAAGTGCAGCAGAAGCTCATAGGAGGCAGTTTTTGTCATTACTATAAGAAAACAAAACCCAAAGAATTCCCATTAACAAGGAATTGGCCACAGGCCAATTTTGTAGGAGTAAGAACAGCCCTTGGGGTAATCGAATCTAGACTTGCCCAGAACTGGCCATCTGTCAGTAAGCACATGGCCAAATCCCTGTCTCATTTTCTTAAGCTGGAAAACAAAGTGTAGGATGTGTGCTTGTAGAAACTTTGACATTTCCCTTCTTATGCAACTCCTGGGCTGCTTTTCTTTTTCTTTCCCAAAGAGCTTTTCTGAGAAATACATTCAAGGGCTAGATCACCATTGCCTGCCTGGATTTGCTAAACCTGTTTTAAGGTCCAGGTGCTACTCATTTCCCTTCCTTTTTGGGAGTTCAGACCCTTTGAGGATAGACATAAAGAGCCAAGGGAGATTGGAGGACTCTGATCTTTCCAAGTTCTGTCATCTCATGGCTGATCTCTGCCCCTCACACATCCCATAGACTTGTGTATCTTCCTTTTTAAGTGGGCTACAAATGTCAAAAAAAAACTAGGGCTGGGGATTTAGTTAGCTCAGTGGTTCTGGTGCCTGCCTTGCAAGCACAAGGACCTGAGTTCGATCCCCAGTACCACTAAACAAACAAAAAAATAAATGTCATTTTCTGATCATCCCCAGCTTGCAAATGATGAAGAAATCCACAACGTGGGAACATCCTTGACCTTCGGATTCGGCACGTTGACCTGCTGGATCCAGGCCGCCCTGACACTCAAAGTCAACATCAAGAATGAAGGACGGAAAGTTGGAATCTCAAGGGTGATTCTGTCTGCATCGATCACTCTCTGTGTCGTCCTCTGTATCCTTTACTTTGAAAAGGTTCTTCCCCAGGAAGATTAATGCACAGACAAGCTGTCTGTGTGGAAGCTGATAGTTGCCATTCCCAGTGGGTTAAGATAATGGTCAGATCATCTCTGAATCTTAAACAAATTGGAAAAGAGCGAGCATAAAAACAAAAATTCTCAGATCAGTCTTGTACACCAAAGAGAGATGAGAACTGAAAATAATACAAATTCTGTCTTGTCAAGACTGCTCCCACCTGTAGAAATGGTGTCACTAGCAATGTAAGTTTTAACTTGTAAAAAACATAGGATACATAACCAAAAGAGAACTGCGACTTTTTTCCTCTAAAAAAATTCACTTGTGATTTCATTAAGTCCTGTTATGTCATTTAATTTTTTTTTACTTCTAAAATGAATTTCAAGGGGCAAAGATATTTATATCATCCCGTAAAACAAGCTTTTTTTTGGAAAACAAATTTAAGAACTGCTTTATCACAGCATATAGTTTTCTGAAACAAATATTGGGGATTTGGGAGTACTATTCATTTCCTTTCTTCCTCTCTGAGTTTGAACCAATTGAGAACAGACCGTGAGGAGCCAGGCAAGGATAAAGAAATAAACCTTCATTGCTCATAAACTTGTAAAGAGCACAGCAGGCCTCACCCTGGAATATATTAACCAACCCAGTAACAGCAGAGAAACCAGTAGGGTTAGAGTACTTCACTCCACTTAACCCCAGGCAAACCCCTGAGAGGCTGGGCATGGTATATTACCCCCAGGTTCATTATGTAGTTCCAGCTGACCTTGAACTTGCTGTGTCACCCAGGCCTGCCTCAAACTGGGGATCCTCCTACCTCAGCCTCCCAGGGGCTGGGATTACAGTTGCAAGCCACCACACCAGGCTCACATCTTCAAGCATCGGTGTTTACTGGGCATTTACCATGTGATATGCATTATTCCCAAACCCTTTCAATGTATCAGCTTTTTTTTACTCCTCACTTAACATGTAAGGATAATGACTCACAGACATGTAATAATTTGCCCATGGTCCCACAGATGACCCAGGATGTGGTGGATCAAGACTTAAACACGGGCTCAGTTCTGGCCCTCAGCCACTGTGCTACCCCCAACCCCCCCTCCCCTGAGAAAGTGGCTTTAAAATACAAAAACACTTAGTTTTCAAAAATGTGTCATTATTGGAGTATTTGGAGTCTTTTATTTCTTCTTCCCTAACTGCTACGCAGTGGTTTTACTGTTTTTCTAAAGCTCTGCAGTCACGTTATATAGAGAACATTTAAGGACTTAAAATTCATGCCAGAAAACTTGTTTCTTGCTAGCAATTGTTAAAATACTTTATGATCAAAAAAGCTGAACCTGCCAGGATGAGATGGAAGATTTATTCATTCCCCATCAACTTAAGTAGTAAGCCAACATTGCTTTGGGAATATTTTGAACCCTCCACCAGAAGACTACACACAGACTTTCAATCAGAGTTTTGAAATTATACCAAACAGTTCTGATCCCCATTGTTTCTGAACACTCAGACCATTTTGTGGTCCCAGAGTGAATGAATTCAGATCTGGTCAAGAGAGCAAAGTTTGACACAAGTAGTTTCACCTCTCTGAACAACTTCCCATATGGCTGGGCCTAGTGATGAATGCCTATAACCTCAGTACTCAGGAGGCTGAGGCAGGAGGACTGCCATGTGTTGAAGGCCAGTATGGACTATACAGTGGGACCCTGACTCAAAAAAAAAAAACCCTCCCAAGATTTAAGGTTTGAGTTCTGCAGGCAGAACTAATTCTAAATGTATTTCGTGTTCAGGCCTTTCATTGAAACATACTATGGGTAGGGCATGGTGGTGCAAGTCTGTAATCCCAGCACTTGGGAGGCTAAAGCAGGACTGTCACTGCCAAGTTCAAGGCCAGCCTGGGCTACACAGTGAGTTGAAGGACAGCCTAAATACAAAGTGGGACCCTGAGACCCTGTCTCAAAAAAAAAAAAAGAAAAACCCTAACACATGCTATGAACTCTGCCCCCTTTCCATCTCCTTTTCCTCCATATATACCATCGTGTGTACATGTTCACACACACACTCCATACACACTCAGGAAGAGAACTCAGCTGTTTCTTGTTATCTTAATGGCACATTTCTATTTGGGCTCAAGCGTTATTTGGGCTCAAGTGTTAATGTGATACCAGAAACAAAACAATCCAATGTAATACTGCTGGGTCCAAAAAAAAAGAAAATGAGAAGAGGAGAGGGGCCCATGCAGACACTAACTGCAGCACTGCTGTCAAGTACAGATTAGATGGAGGCAGTTAGCAATTTCATGTGCTCAGAATTGTTTCTGCAGATAGAACTATGAACCTGTAGCCATTTGCAGTGATTTCTTAGGAGCTGGCTTCATTTTCTGGCCCACCAGTTGCTCTGGAATCGCAATCCTTTGCTAACCAAGCTGCTGCACCGTGCTGGAGCTGGAGCTGGAGCACAGTGGTTGAACAGAGGCTGGGCCAGGAGTCAGAGTGCTTGGGCAAACCCCACTGTAGCTACCTGTGTGAGCAAGCATAGGCAAGTTGCCCCATTGGCCTGGGTTTTGTTATTTTTATAAATGAGAGAAAGGTTTGCTGGGGGGAATTAGTAAATTGTTCCTGAAAGCACTGAGAAGCAGGTCTGGCACAAAGAGCTCGGTGTTGCCCTCTGGTGTCATTCCCATGACCAGAAGTGCTCAGCCGGCGCTGTGAAGGTTCCATTTTGCTAATGAGGGCACAACTGACCGCCTGTAGCCCATGAAGGTCCCTTCCTTGACTGCCTCTCCCTAGACTTCATCCTCATGGCCCAGGACATCCATATGTATGCAGCCCGAGTGCAGTGGGGCCTGGTCATGACCTTCCTGTCATACTTCGGCACCTTCGCCGTGGAGTTCCGCCACTACCGCTATGAGATTGTGTGTTCCGAGTACCAGGAGAACTTCCTGAGCTTCTCCGAAAGCCTGTCGGAAGCCTCCGAATATCAGACCGACCAGGTGTAGTCTGTCAGTCTGTCCTTGCCGGTGAGGTGGGTGTGGCAGCGGGGGAGGGGCAGGAGGGCACACTCACGGGAAGTGACGTAGCCTCGACACACTCCACACACACACACACACGTTCACGGCCACATCTGCCAAATGAGCTTTGTAGGGCAAGTTGTTTCTTGAATGAAAAGCACAAGCCCTTGTGTGTCAAAATACATGCTGTTACACTGAAAATATATGCACGACAGAGCCAGAAGCTTGTGCATGGTCACCTGTCCCTTGCCCATCCCAGGATGCCTCACTCTCCCTACGTTCTTCCTGTCTCATGGTGACCTCCCTCTGATGGAGTGGGCAGGCGGGATGTGACATGGGATGATGCCAACTCCCTAGTTGCCTTCAGGTCCAAAGGGCTTGGAGCAAACACACCAGGAAGTTGTGACAGCCCTAGAGTGGATAATCAGTGTCATCTGCATGGCTGGATGCCAGATGGAGCAGTGACCCCATATGGCCCGCAAGAAGGCACGGACAGAACTTTTCCTATGAACGCTGTCTTCACCATCAGCAGCCGGCTGCGTGGCCCCAGGGAAAAGGACCTGCGACAGTGTGTGTGAGGGAAGCTGCAGTCATGATGCAGACTTGAATCACTGTGCCTGAGAAGGCCCTGCAGACGTGAACATTCACAGGGACACAGTCTGCGGGCCTGGCACGAGATGTGGGCACTGAGGGGAGGGCTTAGTTTTTGCTTCCACAGCAAGTCATGTACAGTTTGTTTTATAGATCACGTTTACCTTTTTTAAAAAAAACAAAAATAACTATAGTAACTATAATGGGTCTCTCTAGATCTCATGGACAAAGATAGAGACCAAAGGTAAGAACTGAGCTTACTCTGGGTTAAAACATGAAAAAAAGAAAAAAAAAAAGTCACCTGCAGGTTTGATGTTTGAAGCTAAGAAACATTCACAGAGAAATATGAAGAAATCAGAACCTATGGAGATGGAGAAAGAGCTCCCGCCTGGATGCTTACAAAGATAGGAATTTAGGGCTGCAGGTGCACTTGGCCTTTGTCTAGCAGGCGTGAGGCCTGGGTTCTGCCCCCAGCACCCACCACACAATACGTTTCAGAGCATCTCACCCCAAGTGAAATCAGAGGAGACTTTAACACGTAGCTATCGCTTCAATCTGATAGTTTTGGGTCTAGGGCTTTTCAAAATTGGAATTTACAAATAAAAGATTATCTCCCCCAAAGCCACAATGAGACATCTGGTCCCCTGCAGCAGGGGCAGTCCCCATCCCCAGAGTTCAGAACTGCAGCATAGGGCCCGGTACCCCAGGCTGTTCATCATGAGCCAGAACACTGTTCCATCAGGTCACTATGGACCAAGGGACAGACCCTCTGAATGAACTGTTTGGAGAAATTCCCAAATGCACTTCACAGGGGCCCGGGACTGCATGGAGAATAAACTGAAAACACACTGTCTTTTAAAGTCATCCCAGAGCCTGATCTTCCTGAGGGGTTGATGTGACCTCGTCCCCACTTCTTCCCAGCACAGTGCCTGGCACATCTGAGGTGCTCAGTGTGTGTCTGCTGGGAATTACTGATCATTTCTGAGTGTGGGGAAAAGTATCCAAGACAGAAAGGCAAATGAGCTAACGGACAGACAGCTGTGCCCATGAAGGAGGCAGAGAGAGCACCTGTGAGGTGTAAGGAAAAGAGGAAAACACTCAAACAGAGCATCTGCCTAATAAAAAGACATCTTACTGTACATAGTCCAAGGTGACATTTATTAGTTTTTGAATATTGCTCTTGGGTTTCCTTTTTTCATTTTTATACTTTACAGATTTTATCAAAGAACAAAGATGTTAAGTTTTATTTTACTGTACACTATTCAAATTAAGCCGCTTTGGTGACGCACTTGTACACTTTCTTAAGAGTAAATCAAATAGCACATTTTAGCAGACTCGAGCAATGGCTAACATTATCCACTGGGATCTGGCCCTAAATAAAGCTCTTTTATGCAGAATTCCAATTTCCTTGTCTCTTACACCGACTGTTCTCTGGTACTAATGCATGTGTAAACTTGGAAGTGATGCTGAAGGCGAACGTGAGTGTTACACTGGCAAGTGTTCTCCACACGACACTGCTTTCCCTGACTACTCCGGGATTGTGTCAGACTCCAGAGGTTGATGTCACACAAGATACCCTCACTTCAGATGCCAATAACAAGTTTGGGGCCCATGGGCTGCTGTTACTTCTGTCCAACCTGGCTACAAATCTGCTAGTGATGGCTTGCAGAACTGAAAAAAAAAGTCTTTATTTACATTTGCTGATTTATTATAAAGGATACAACTCAGGAACAGCCAAATGGAAGAGGTATACAGGGCAAGAAAGAGGGAACTAGGAGGCAGCTGTGCCCTCAGGTACCCCAAATTCTTGTCCCCTAAGTGTTCATCAGTCTGGAAGTTCTCCCAACCTGTGTCCTGGGTCTGTCTTGCAGATTTCTATTTCCAGAGGTTGCCGGGTTGGGTCTGAGTTCTGGTTCCTTCCGTTGACCAGTCATGTCCTGAGGCTCTCTAGGGGCCTTCCTCAGTCACTACATTAGCATACTCTGGTGGGATTCAGAGGCCACTTCTATCACCTAGGTACACTCTAAGGGTTTTAGAGATCTGTACCAGGAACTGGGGACGGAGACCAAACAGATGTTTGTACTGTGGCACTCATATAAATAAAGATCTAGCTCATAAGCACACTTGGAGCTGAAACCATCCATCCCAAAGGCCAAGGCCAGGGAACCTGCATTTGGGACAAACATCCCTGCCTGGCCCTGAGGTCGAAGTTTACAACACTAAACCATGTTTCTGGGGGTCTCTATCTAGCTCAGTCTCCTGAAAGAGAGACATCTTTCCTACTGGCTAGAGAGAAATATTTTAAACTAACGTTATTATCTCAAAGGTTTAATATTTTATTTAATAGAAAACTGACAGGCACACTTACTGTCACTTGTTGGGTTTTCTTTATCCCTTGTTTAGGGAAGTAAAACTTTCATTTCCTGAAATTTGTGGTCTTACTGGTTAGAAATGGAGCTTGAAACAGTGCTGTTGTTTATTTGTACCAGGAGAGGCTGGGCTGCTGTCCCAAGATTAAACTAACCAAGCTACAATTGACCTCTTTCATTCCCTCGTCTCTGACTCCTCAGTCTGCACCTCTCCCACTTCTCACTTCTCTGCCTGAACCATTTTCTCCTTGGGCTTCCGGAACACCTCACCCTTTCAACGTGCTTCTCTCCACATTGTCCTTCCTTCCTGTTTCTTTGCGGGGTCACCTCCTCCCTGGCTCAGGCGCTGGCACTCCTCCTGCCATCTGTTTATACTCACTCTCCTGGTGACCTCGGTCAGTACCCAGCTGTACCTGCTGCTGGTGCTGCCTTTTCTTAAGGTCTCTGGCCCAGGGGCCAGACCTGAAGGCCTCTCAGGTGCAGCACTGCTGATCTGTGCCTATGAACTGGTCCCTCTGTCTCCCTGTCTATGTTCAGCACACTTGTCTTTCATTTGCTCACACTTATCGCCTTTCCTTATCTTTCCTTTCTCTCTCACACCCCACATCCGTCAGCAAATCCTGACTGCTCCACCTTTATACTCCTACTATCTGCTGCCACCACCTGGCCCCTGTGGCTCCTGGATTTTTATAAGCTACAGAAATTGTTCTCTGCTTCTAGCCTGTCATCGTGAACTGTCAAAACGACCCTCACTCCTCTGCTAGAAACCTTCCAATGGCTTCCCTGGGACTCAGACCGAGAACACAAATCACTAAATTCCCAGAAGGCTCAACAAGTCCTGCCTTGACACCCTTCCTTCTGTTTCAGGCCCTCCATGATTTCCTACAACAGCCAGTGTGCTCTGGCCTCGGGGCCTTTGTATTTGTTATAACTTCTGCCACGGACCACCTTCCTCCAGATCCTTAAAATCCCTAATCTTCTTCACTTGAATGTTACACTCTCAAGAGGCTCCTGAACTCAAATTCCAGCCCTACTCCAGAATTATCCCTCTTTCTAGCTTTATGAAGCATTTTAAAAACATGGTTCTGTGATAAATTAAAATTTCTAAAATTCTTAACACAATACACCATGCTTTACTTAGTTATCTGGCTCTCTCCAGCCCCAAAATAAAAATTCCACAAGGCAAGGATTTCTGCCCACCATTTACCTGACACCTAGAACAGTGCCAGATTTGTAGTTACATGCTCAATCTGTACTTCTAGAATAAATGAATGACTAGTAGCTGCCACATACACCCTCAAGTTTTTTTTTCTTAAATATTTTTACCCTGATTTGAGCAACTCAGTGATATTGGCATCTGGGAACCAATGCTAACATTTCAGAGGTTACAGATACTCAGAGGATACACATATCTTCCTGTTTGTCCAAGCAAACAGCTTTCTGGGTCTTGAGGAGGAAACTTTAGAAAATAATGTTATTTTTTACAATGTTTACAGTAAGTAGTTGTTTGTCAAATACCCAAGTTCTAAACCAGAATTGAAATACCTTTATATAAACCATCATTACCCGATTTCCTCTTATGTAGCTTCAAAACCATATACTAAGGCTAACTGGCTCCTTACCTGAGAAAAACAATATATTTCAAATTTCTAAGACAAGAAGCCGAGCCGAGGTTTAAAGTCTAACTGTTAGGGAGTTGATCATGTTAAAGTATGCAGTGACGGCGCCTCACAGGCTGCATTCTCCTGGTACATCTTGGCTCCTAAAATGACCTCATGCCCTTATCTCTGGTTTCCCTCCCCCCCAAGGCCACAGTGGTCCAGGAAAGTTAAAACCTCTGTCTGCAGGACTGGGCCCATAAAAGCAATCTGGCCTGTGATAGGTTAAAAGTAACTCACTCCTCATAAATAAGCAATAGCCCACCCCAAACTGATAAAAGGACCTTCCTTTCTTTGTTCTCTTCTCTCCTTCTGCTTCCTCCTCCTCCTCCTCCTCCTCCTCCCTCTCTCTCTCTCTCTCTCTGCCTTCCTGCCTCCTGCTCGCCTCCCTACAATAAAGATCTCCTGCCGGACCTCTCGGTGCGTGAGTGGCCTAATTGGGAAGGGGCACCCGAAGGGGCGCGTGAGACCCCTTTCACTAACTCCCCCCAAAACTGCCTCTGAAATGCTGTGTGGGTCAGGATTAAGGACATGGAGCCTTTAGTTCAGTGGTTCCACCCCGCCTGCCTCGCCAAGTGCAAGGTCCCAAGTTCAATCCCCAGTACCAAAAAAAGAAAGAAAGAAAGAAAGAAAGAAAGAAAGAAAAAGAAAAGGACATGATGTGCCTAATGGATATTCCCAGAGAGAGCAGGACAAGGGAGTTCCTTGCCAGCCAATACTGGAATAACATCTAATGCCTCTAGACGGCTGCAAACCAAATTTAGATTTGTAGCCAGGCAAAGAAGAAGAGCTCAAGGAAGGCTTTGATTAAACCCAGGATCAAAGTGGATCCCGTGACAACAAGTGCTCCAAGCCAGCAGTGGCTTGCTTTTATGCTGTCCTAGTAGAAGAGCTTTCTCCAGAGATCCTGGACTGCCTTATTATAATTTAAATGGTATCGTTACGTGCCCTTGGAAGGCTTTGAACACTGTCCTTTTAAAAAATTTTGAGACAGGGTCTCAGCTATGTAATTCAGGCTGGCTTTGAAACACCACTCTCTTAATACTGTAACACCTGAAGGAACTCTGCCTACAACCAGCAGTGTCTTTCTGTCCTGCTTCGTTTATGCTGGAGGTTACTTATAATTAACACCTGCAGATTCGTGCACACATTGTTAGGATGGGAGAAAAAGAACAAGAGGCCCAAGCCAAGCTTGGACAAAGAAGCAAGACCCCGTTTCAAAAATGAAAATATAAAATACAAAGGGCTGGGGGTAATAGCTCAATATGAAGGCTCTGGATTCAATCCCTAGTATTGCAGGAAAAAAAAAAGTCATTGTAAAAAGACAACAGCATGCTTGGATGACTGTAGTTCAGAAAAGTCAGGCCTTCTGTGGTTTCCAGCCCCAATGGCTGGGAAGATGGGGACACCTGCAAAGTCTAAGAAGTGAGATGTCACCACTGGAAAGGAGGACAATGACACAACAATTTGGAGGTTCCCAGCTGCATACTGAGGCAAAGGCCACCAAAAAGCCTGAAGGTACTGAAAGGTACACAAGGCCCTGGCCGCTGCTTGGAAATATTCTAGTTCTGCAGCTGCCCAACAAATTACCATGAAATCCAGTGTCACAAAAGCACTATTTACCATGCCCAAATTCTGTGGCTCAGAAGCTGATGGCACAGCGGTCCAGCCTGACCCAGGTCTGTGCACCTAGGTCTCAGCAGAAGGTGGAGGCTCTGAAGGGGAGTCTGCTCTTTGTCTGGAGGTCGAGGCTGGCTTTCAGCTCAGGCCTCTGGTCCTCTCCGCACAAGGCACTCCAGGCTCATTCCAAGCTGGCTTTTCCAGAGAAGGGCCTGACCCCTGCTCTTAAAAGAGAGCTCGTGGGTCGTAAGTAAGCCTCAGAAGTCATAAAACTTTGTCTCTGTCGTCGCCTAGTGGAGCAATCAGGACCCCATATGACATTTTAAGAGGAAGCTGTGTCAACATGGAGTGAGGTCTGTAAAAAAAGGACACGAAAGAGACACCAAAAGTTCTTCCCTCCAAAATAGCAACTAAACTGCCCAAAATACCTTACATGAAATTCTGGAAACTAAGGAAAAACTTGCAGCAAGCAGGGAGTCACTTAAGAAAACCTAACTGAATCTCAGTGAAACCCAGGAAATCTGTGGCACTGACTTACTCTGGTTCCAGATCCACACTCCCCAGTGGTGGCCTTGAGAGCTGGTGCAGAGCCAGTGCCCAAGAAAGCAGAATGCACCTCACACAGGATTCTGGTTGTTGAGTGATGCATCAGCCTGCTTGCCTCTCACAAGGAGAGGGAGGGAGAATTAGGTCACCAAACTTAATGGGATCAGAGCCCCACCCTTATGGTTTGACTGTCTTCTGTCCCCAAATGCAGTCACACAAGGACAGTGAGGATTAGGGATTCAACATATGAACTGGGAGCAGTTCATTCCACAGCACCTCAGCAGGCAGCTCCTTGGAGCACAGGCCTGAAGGGCTTCAGAATGCTGCCAGTTCCCAGGCATGTGTTAATCTGGAATAATGGGTAACTGGGGTAAGAACAGACAAACCAAAAGCCTTAGTAGGAAAGGCTGAAGAATGAGAAGCTTTGGTAAGTGCTCTGAAAGGATGACATATCCTTGTTGTTATAGGCTAAATTGTGTGTCCCTCCCTACTGATCCAAAATATGTTAAAATTGTAATCCCTAGCAATCTAGGATGCAACCTTATTTGGGGACAGAACCTCTGTA